TGCTGCCAAGATACTGGAATTTTTCGGTATTTTTTAGTACAATGTCGTGGGCTTCCTCAGAGATAGCAGGAAAACTGAGTTTCGTATTTCGTCTTGAAAGTTTGCATAGAGATAGGCATTAACGAGAACAATTTTTTTTTGTGAAAGTTTGAGACCAATTGATTGTTCCTATTCTGAAATCAGAGAACATCAGAATCTGTCGCTGTACATAAGTGTTATAAAAAGACATGCTTTCACCATAGCCATATTTTACGAGAGCAACAACAAAGAGATCTGAAACTTTTACAATAAACTATTTTTGTTAAGATTTGTCTCTAGGTCATGTTCCAAATCTATATTCGAAAGATAGTTGTCCTGGTGTCCCTGTGGAGGACCATGCCATTGTCTTATTAGAACCTAAGTGATGCACATTATCTCTATGTAAAACCAATTTATTAGTTATGGAACTTTACTCGTTAGAAACAACTCTTTTAGAATTTATATTCGCATTAAATCTAAAAAACAATCTTAAATACTCGTGTTTTAATTAATTCAGCAGGCGAATATCCCTTTCTATTTTCCGATCATGTCAGTTTTGGTTTGAATAACTTTTTGTTTTCGTAGTTTAGGTGTCACATGACAATATATACAACTGTCGGACGTTATCCAACTTCATATTACAGTCACAAGTAAGTTCTTATGAGACTAAGAAAAACTTCGAGGGATCCGAACCCATGGCCAACTGATGGAGAGTAATGTCTATTCAAATGAAATTTTCACTAAGAGAAAGGTATTTTCGAAAGACTCAAAATAACGAGTTTCGAGCTGAAATTACATCTTAGGCAGATCTAATAGTCATTATATAGTACTAAAGAAGGACACAAAAGTCAAATCTACTCATAAATTGGATATTTCGAGAAAGAAAAGTTCTTTCTCTTTGAAATTATCTTGACTATATAATGACTATTTAGATCTGCATATGGACGTAATTTCAGCTCGCAACTCTTTGTTTTAGATTTTTCGGAAATATATTGTTCTCAGTATAAATTTTATTAAATGTTCAGAATTCTTCATCAGTCGACTATGGGTATGAATCCTTTGAAGTTTGTCTTGGTTTCAAATGCATGTAATCGTAGTCAAATTAGGAAGTTGAACGACGTTCGAAAATAAACTGTTCCCTTGTCAATTCGGATTCGATGCATTTTTTATGTTTTGAGTTTCGATAACCATAATCGAGATTCAAACTGATTCTGCACATCTCTTATTATAAAAACTTTATATACTCGTTTAAATAGTTCTTCAGCTCTTTTTTTTTCATTAGGTCCACCAACTGTATTAACAATTGAATTAAATTCTTCATATGCTGTTTGACATATAAATAATTCTTTTCCTATTTATAAAACACCAAAAAAAAAGAATTTAAAATAAAATAAGAAAAAGAGAAAAACAACACCTTTCATATAATTTTCTAATTTTGGTGCAAGATGTTCAGCTCGTTCCAATTCAGCCGGTACTTCAAGCCATTTACTTGGATATCGATAAATATGACCACCATGTGTTAATTCCGAAACAAGACAAATTAATGTACTAACATCAAGATTTATTTTACTTGGTTCATGTGATGACATTAATTCTATATTATTATTATTATTATTATTATTATTAATAACTTCATCATCATTATCATCATCATCAGTTTCACTATCACTTTCTTCGTCACTATCACTTGAACTAAAATCATCAACAATTTGTAAACGTTTTTCAACATCTTCATTTACTTCAACAACTGCACCCTAAAGAAAATTTGTTCGTGTTTTTTTTCAAACTTAAATTCTATTGTATTTAATTCATAATTACTTTGACTATGATACCATTTTTTTTTAATAAATTAGCTAAAGGTTCTGTAACACCTTGTACAAAATAAAAGACAATATCTGGTGTTTGATAATGTATTTCATTAGAGCGAGCTGTATCAAGATACTGTCTCATTGATATAAGAATACTTCGTTGTCCATAATGACCATTACCCTAGTGATTTAATTAGAAAAGAAAAAACAACAGCATGTCGAAGATGAATTTCAAAAAGATTTTACTTTCCAAATAAGATGAAGTGCTTGTGCATTTCTAGCAATTACTTTCATCCATTTTCGACCTTCATTATAAACTAATTCACAAATAAGCAATTGAGAACGATTATCTTTAAATGGTACTAAAACCTATTATTAATTAATTTTGGTTTTTTTTTTAATAATAATAATAATTATTATTTAACTTACTCCATTAACATTTTCTGGGCCAATGTCTTCAATTTGTTCAAGAACAGCTCGTAAATGAGTTAAATTTGAACTTTTTAAATGATTAACATTAACATCACTTGTATCAGCGCGAAGCTAAAAATTAGATTTTTTTAAATAATTTTGTTTAATTTGGAGATAACGGATATATAGAAATTTTACTTAGTTAACTATGATGACTAGGCTTTTTTTTTGTTATGTTACTAATCTACACTTATCATATAAATATGTGTAGATTGTAGCAGACTAATCTTACCTACGAAGGTTGACATTGTATATCAAGTACTAAGTAGTTATTATTTAAGCGATTCTTATCTGTAAACATGTATAGAAATGAAAGATATAAATTTTTCAAATATTTTGATTTTGCATATTTAATTAATTTAATTTCTATTTCTATTCATTAAATAAATATGTCTTCATTGTTACATGATAAATAAAACCGAACGTAAAATAGAAAATAAAAACATAAAAATACATACGCGTTTTAGAAATCTATCTTCGGCACGAAATTTTCTTTCAAGTTTGCTTATTCCATGTATTTTATTATATTTTCGACATTTTTCTATACATAATCGAACGTCATTCAATAATGTATCTAATATAACAGTAATATTTGCATCATCATTGTTAGTTTGTGTTAAGTCTGTCATCTGAAAAAAAACAAAAAAAAAAGGTCAATGAGAAAAGACAATCTTTCAAACAGAATGAAAAACTTTTGTAATACGCTGACACAGCACGATCTGTCAACGTGACTCGACGCATATATATATATATAGTTTGAAATTTTCGTGTAAATCATATCAAAATGACTGTTTATATTATCCATGAAAATGACGTATGGTTACCTCCATTTCGAAAGGCATTTGAAAGGCTTCAATTACCTTTTATCGAATGGAATTTAAGTGGAACACATAGCTATTCATTAAATAAAATACCTGATGATGATGCAATTTATTTTAATCGCATTTCACCATCTTCACACACTCGTAATCATCGTTTCTCGTGTGAAATTACAGGTCAAGTCCTCGATTATCTTTCATTACATTCATGTCGAGTTATTAATGATCAACGAGCTCTTTCGCTTGAATTATCTAAAGTTAAACAATATGTTGAATTAACGAAAAGTCATATTTCTGTACCACGTACAGCATTCGTTGCAAGTGCAACATCAATTAATCAACAAGAATCAACAATCAAAGGAAATTTTATTGAAATATTAAAAAGAACTGCACGAGAAAATTTTTTTAATGAATCGACACAAACATGGACACCATTTATTAGTAAGCATAATCGAGCAGGAAAAGGACTTGGTGTTCATCTATTTACTGATGATGAACAACTTGAAAAACAATTTGAAAATTTAATTGATAACAATATTGAAGAAGAAATTTCTATTGATGGTATATATCTTTTACAAGAATATATTAAATCACCGCAACAAGTTATTAATCGTGCAGAATTTATTGGTTATAAATTAATGTATGTAATTGAAGTTGATACACGACAAGGTTTTCAATTATGTCCAAGTGATGCATGTCGAAAAACAATTGATAGTAAATTAGTTAAACAAAGCACTGATGAAATAAAACATGGATTTAATATACGATCAAATGATTCATTTACCGATAATGAAAAAACAGTTATTGAACAATTAGAAAATTTTTTACTAAAACGACAAATTGAAGTAGCTGGAATCGAATGGGTTGATGATGGCACAAATATTTATGTTTATGACGTTAATTGTAATACAAATTATAATGTTGCTGCTGAAACAAGATTTTTTGGGGATATGTATGGGACAATTAAATTAGGCGAATATTTTCAAAAACAATTACGAAAAGATTAATAAAGAAAAATAAAAAATAAGAAAAAAATAAAAACTAATAGTTGATTCGAGCTATGTTTATTTGTTGTTGACGTTCTTGTTACAATTATCATCAAGTCTTGACAAGCGAATACACATATACGAAGACAAAGACAGCACGAGAAAAAAAAAGAAAAAATGAATGAGCTTGCATCGAATATAGAGCATAAAAATCCGAATACAAAAAAAAGAAATGAAGCAGTAGAACAAAAGAACAACGAAGAATCGCACACGCTCGTTGATTTATATACAATTCTTTTTTTTTCTGTTAACAAAAAAGAAAGAGGAAGAAAAACAAAGAAAACATGAAATAATTTGAACGAAGATACACATACATAGGCGTATGGCACATACACCACTAGAAAAAAAACAACAGTAGACAAAAAGATCCTCGACACACATACACACGCTCATGTAAGTGTCATCAACCAAATAGAGGAAAGAACCGTTAGAGACCAAAAAATTCAAGAATCAATAGTGTTTAGTTGGGTGGAATGGTATATCGAGGTTATAAACTCGTTTCTTTTGTTTTTTTGCAAAGAAAAACAAATCATAACTCTACGAAAAGAAAAAAGTGTACATTCAACACTATGTATATGCGTGTGTGCGTGTGTCATTTAGTGGTTAAATAGTTAGCTTTTAAGAACAAAAAGAAAAAAAAAATTCGTTTTTTTATATTCAACAAGTACATATAGGCTTTTTTTTGTGTTTTCATTCAATATACACATTCAAGGATATGAAGACAAAAAAAAGAGAACGACCTGATTAGAGAAAATAAACAATAATAAAGGATGATATACACACATGCGTTCATTCAATCACTGTTATCAACGGCCGGATATTTATGTTAAAAAATATTTTCAAGATGATAAACCAGTTGACGAACCATCTAAAATTAATAAAAATTATATATTACATTCTTAATTTTTTTTTACCATATGAATTTTGTATATTTGTTGCTGATGTTGTCATTTGTGTTAGACTTGTCTCACATCTTCTCATATCATATTGTGTTTGTTGTTGTGTACAATAAATATTCGATGATGATGATGACGAACTATCCGATAGATTTAATTGTTGTTGTTGAGGATAATAATGATTTGATAATACGCCATTAACTTTCATTTTATAATTATTTGAATGATCAACATATGTTGACCAAGAATCATGATGATGATAATTATGGATATCATTACCAATACCATTTGATAATGTTGTATTATTATTATCCATTGGTGATGAAGTCTGATATGGATGAGGAGGAGGAGGGGGAGGTTTGCCACCTAAATAAATAAATAAATAAAGATATTTTTATTTTATTTCATTTAACTGTTTAAATAAGTGGGATGTGTTGGTGAAATACTGTTTGGATATGTTAATCGCCCATAATTATTCGTTGATGTTGATGGTTGTCGATGAAGAATTTGTGGATTTTGTTGTTGTTGTGATATATAATGACCAATAGGATGTCCAATTATCGGTGGTGGTTGCATGAGATTAACAGTAGTTGAAGAAGATTTATATGAATAATTATTTAAATTCGAATAATTTTGTTGATCACTACCGTTTTCTAATTTTACACGTTTATGTCTATGATCATCTGTTTTATTATCATATGAAAAATTATTTATTGAAGATGGTGAAACAGTTGATTCAAGAGAATCAATCGGAATTTTTGTAGTTGTTGCTGTTGTTGATGATGATGATGATGACGTAGATAAATCTTTACCTGTAATGAAGAAGAAAAAACGAACTTTCTTTTCTTTAAATAGTTATTTAAAACATACTGTTCGTTGTTGTTGGATTAGTTGTTGTTGATGCATTATTATTATTGTTATTATTATTGCTATTAACTACAATAGCATTCGATTGTCCAACAATTTCCACACTGAGTATTCCGAGTTCGATGAGGCGTACATTTCCTTGTATAGCAAGTAAATGTAAACGATCAGCTGCCTCTTTCGGAATATCAAGAGTAACTTTAACACTATTCCACGGCTGCACTTTTTTTAATGCAAATCTTCTTCGACCTAAATATAAATGATCAAAATAGAAGACAACAAAATATATATAGATTTTGTTTTCCTACATACCAGTGTGAAGTATTTCTCTTAATTTATCTTTAATTTCATGTAGTTTTATTTTTAATTGTGGGTCAAGATAATCAGCTTTACATACAAGTCGAATTTCAACAAAGTCATGTGGTGCCATAGTTTTTTTAACATTGCTGATTGAAAAAAAAACATAACAATCAACAAATATGTAAACAAAAATGAATCAAGTCCTAATATACCTTAGATTACCGGAAATGAAAAAACATCGATCTAGAATAATAAATATTAAATGTTTATGATTTCTTTCATCACATTTAATTGTATGGGCAATTAGCAAATAATGATTAGCATAAAAGCGAATAAGAATAATTGATGATTGATTAAATGTTGATTGGTTCTTTTGAATAGCCACTGGCCAGAATGAAAAAGTATTCAATTTTAAACCAATTAATTTTCTGTATAGTATTCTCTATACTTGATTTTATTATGAGAAATTGTTTTTTTTAATTTACTAAAATGATTTATTCTACAATATTTATATCAAATATTGATAAAAAATGTTTAATCAACCAAAAATGTTTATTAATTTGTTTTTCGTAGAAATTCATTTTTTGTAGATGTCACTAGTAGAGTTAAGTTTTATAAATAAAGCATATAAAAAATTATGTTTTCATAGTAAGTGATATGCACTTTGAGAAAAAAAGCTTTATTACCGTACTATAACAAAGATTAAAGTACATTTCTGTCATATGATTATGAATAGATTCACTTCTCACCAACGACATCTGCAGGAAACCATCAAACACATGATATAATCGAAACCGAAAAAAGAAACATAATTATCATATGTTAGTTAAGGACAATGATATAATCTTGTCATTCTGTCAAGAACACTTAGGTGAAAATTTTAATGAGCAGCAAAAGAAAAATGTTTTCAGTCTAAAACACATCTTCATAGAACAGAAACTTCCTTCTTAATAGACTGTATTTTATTCGATTGTAAACTAGATTTAAAGATTTTTCATATCAAAATGATCGCATAAGATTCATTGCTTCATAACCATAAATCAATGGCAAAACTGAAGAAAAATCTGCTAAGAATGTGTCAGTCATCTGTACTGAGGAAAGCTTCAAGAATTGTAAATGAATCCGGAAACTCGTTTTAATTGTTCATGCATAAATATAACATGCTCAAAAATACTGTCATACGTCGTTGATAAGTCTCTTTAAGGGTTTCGGATTTATTGAAATACTTGAAATCCCTATTAAGCTTCGTCTTATGCACGAAGCTCTCATTAAGTTCTGTATCACGTTAATTTTTTTTCAATGTAGAATCTGACCGGTTGCTACAACATCTGCTCTTCAACAATCTGTATTAACGAAGTCCTTAAAGTTTATTTAATTTTTCGTTGAAAAATTACTACGATTATTTGATCAATCTATTTTTATTTACTTATAGAATAATGATTAATAAGTTTGGATGCTTCTTTTATTTATTTTTAATGGTTTGTTAGTTTTGAAAAAACTCTTGACTTACGTATCCTGCAAGTCGAGACTTCTAATCTAATAAAATCCATCTTAAGTATCTAGTCTTTCGAAAAATGATCTGTTTTTTGGTAATAAAAAACCTAAAATTCGATCTATTAAATTAAATTAAGTTTTTAATGATCCTTCAGTTAAAAATATCAATTTTATACATTGAGGAACAACAAAACAAAAAAAGCTTTCATTTGCTTGTTCAATGATCCTTTCCTTTGTTTTAAACTTCTATTACATAAATGCATAAACAAACAGAAAAAAACATAAAGAATGTTCTAACTTCTCATCTTTTTATAAATATAGAGCACTCTTAAAATAAATTAATTATAATCAAAGAGTCTAAAGAGAAAAAAACGACAGAAAAAGGACTAAGTTTCTTTCTTTTTTTTCAAATACAAAGAAAAAAAACCTAAACAAACAAGAGAATAGACAAAAGAAAAAGAAAAGAATTCACTGAAAACAACCGACAGACATATACAGAATAATATCTACATAGATGAGACAAGAGAAGAAAACAAAAAAGTTTATTGTTGCTTTTTATTTCTGTGTCATAAATTATAAAGAGTTTCAATTATCTCTTCGTTCTAAGAATAAAAATCATGCACAAATTCAATAACGATCTATTTTTGATCTAGAAAACAAAAGAATATAAGATTTTTAGTTTTTTCTATTTAACTTAATATTCTTACTTAGATTTTGCTTTTACACGTTCATCAAAAAATGAAACTGTTTTATCACTATATGGTGAACCAGCACGAATAACATTTGAATGATGTGATTGTTGTTGTTCGATATTAATTGACCGAGCATAATCAGATGCACTACTTAATAGACTTGATTTACGACCAGTAGGGTCTCCATTTATATTACAAATATTATCATTATTATATTCAACACCAGGTACAGTACATGCATCTCTAAATACATAAGAACAAAACAAAGTATTATGTTTGTACCATACTAAATTTGAATAACAATCTACTCAGATGATCTAAATTATTCATGATCAATATTTATGCAACAAAAACAGTTTTATTAGTAAATGATTATTGGATGTGTAGTAGAGAATTGAAAGTACAGAATTCATGGTCGTTTATTTATCATAGAAAACTTTAAGCAATAAAATCTTTTTCATGAAAATACTAAGTGAAATAGGTTTTTTTAAAATTAAATCAACAGAAAGACTTGAATATGCTATTTTCAAAATATATGTTTTTTTTAATTGTAAACTTACTTGATTGAACCAGCTAATGCCTTAAGACTATCCATTGTTTTAGAAGATTTTTCACTGATTGTAATACTTTCAATATCAAAACTTTTACAATCACTCACTTCAGCTTGAACTTCAAGACTAAATTAATTCAAAAATACAAACAAAAAACATTGTTTCATGAATGATTTTCTTTTTTTAAAAATCATACCGATTTGATGCTGGTAAACTTTCACAAAGTGATATTGCACCTGTGCCAGGTAATGCTTTTGTACTTCCATTACTACGATCATCAACAAGATGTGCAACACTATTGGATAAACTAGTTGAATCACCACCAATTGTGGGATGTGTCATTACACTTTGCGTATCTACAATAAACATATAGTTTTTAAAATAAAATTTCAATTTATATTTTTCATCTTATTTATACCATTAAGAATAGCTCTTGCAATAGCAACTTCACGTAAAGAAAATGGTAAAAAATTATCAATATTAGTACTATCACCATCTAAAATATTATTTCGTGTTCCAACACCACAACCACCTGTACGACATAATGATATTGGAATAACCTAAAATTTATCAATCGTTTTTTTTTATTAAATAAGAATAAGAGATAATTTTCTTACTCCATAAACGTAAGCAAGAAGAATAGGAACTCCAATTCCAACAGCAAGAGTAGCTATTATTGGTGAAGCTACTACACTTCCCATAACACCTAACGTTACAAGAAGATTTCTTTTTGTTTTACTATGTCGAGCATTATTAAATTTTTTAAATATTCTTCTACCAGCCCATATAGGTACACCGACAACAACACCCGGTATAGCGACACCAGCTATTAATGCAATTATAACTGGCGCACCAATTAATGTAGCTACTTGCCAAAGAATAACTTTTTTTCTACTCCATTGTTTTCTACCCCAAAAAGTACAACCCGATGGACTAAAAGAACAAATTAAGCGAAATTTAAAAACAACAAAACAAAATATAATAATTATATTAACCTAAGATAATGTAAATCAGATATTTCTCGACCACATAACCAACAAAATTCAGCTTCACATATAGGACAAGTCATATGATTCTAAAACGAAAATTATATAACTTTGAAGAAGCAAGAATTTCATAAATACATACACAAGAACCATCGTCCATTTTAAGTATTGATGCTTGACATCTCGGACATTGTTTTATTTCATCTTCTACAAAACAAAAAAGAAAAAACAATTGTTTTCTTTCATGTTATAATTAATTAACATCATACTTTGTTGAGCAGAAGCAAGACTAATAAAGGAACCTGAACGAAGTTTAGCTGATGTTTTTTCACGTGCTGCATCTTCGCATGTTTTATTTGGATGCCATGTTGCTTTACAATGATAACAAAATGATGTATTACATCCTGGTCGTAAACATTGAATTTCTGGACATGATGCATAACCTGACGCTATAATAGCAAATCCACAATCAGGCGCTGGGCACCAACGTGTATCAGATATAGATTGTAAAACACGTCGTACCATAAATTGTTCATATTTCGATATAAGATCAGAATTATTATCTAATATTCGTGATATATCACTTGGATGTATACGTTCGGGACAATCATTATGTGGGCAATTAAGTGTAATACGGCCTTCAGTTATTTCTAATTTTAAATAACTTTTTAAACATGTTCGACAATATGAATGTGAACATAATGTTAAATGTTCAAATTGTTCAGATGAATAATCATGATAACATAATAAACAAGTTTCAAGTAAATGATCATTTGAAGTTGTTGTTGTTGTTGATGATGGAAGTATATTAATAACATGTTCATTGGCTGATGCAACAATTGATTCAATAAATTCATCTTTTAGTGATATTATAGAATTTTTATCATTTGTTGGTGGTGATGATGATGTTAAGGTATAAATTTGTTGTTTTGAAGATTGACAAGAATTATTTGTTGTAGATGTGTTTTGTTGATGAGTAAAACGAGCTGCTGTTGTTGACGGACGACTAGCGGTAAAACGAAGTAGATTAAGAAAACGTCGACGTATGCTACCATTTCCATTATTTGATGTTGTATTTGAATTTGAAGATTCTTAATAAAGAACAAAAAAAAGAATAAATGCATGCTACACCTAATATTTCATTTGTTATCTGATTATAGACAATAAATGAAGTTAATTATTTAAAAATGAAATAAATCTCAAATAAGTTATAATTACGTATTTGTTCTTGTTTTTTCTTGGATTTCATACTTTGAGTTGTGACTTGTATAGATGTATTTGTTGTTGATGATATTGGGATTGTTATTATTGATGATTGGTCTTTGGTTAATGTAATTGATGAATCATTATTAGTTGTACGTTTTAATGACGAACGCTTACTAATAGATGATGACTGTTGACTACGTTTTTTTGAGAGCATTATTGATTATAATAACTAAAGACAAGCAAAAAACTATATATCTGTATTAAAATTCTTTATTAATTTTATCATTGCTTATACATATATTTAAATACACGGTTTTCTAAGTTTTGTTTTTCGATAGATTAACCAGAAAAAAAAGAAGTATCCATATTTACGAAACTGAAAAATCTTGAATTTCTCTAAATCAATATTTGTAGAACAGAATGAGAAACAATTTGGTCGATAAAGACCAGATAAATATCTGATACTTTCTCTTTTTTAACTAAAAAGAAATTAATCAATAATTACTTTAGCTTTAATTGTTATTCATTTGACGTCATTGATGACAACAAAGAAAAATGTAATTGTATTTTTCAATATTACTTAAAAAACTAACATAATGATGTACCCAAGAAAAAAAAAGCAAAGTATAAATCTAGAATAAAGAATCATACTCATCTATAATGTTTATCTACATTTCGATTCTCTTTTATTTTTCAATCCTTAGAGTACACGAAGAGTATGCTAGCTTATCTAATACATTGTTTTCTCTGCTTTAATTCGAATAATTCAATGCAGTCAAGTGTAGCATAGATTAATAAGCCCTTAGTAGAGAAAAAAACAAAAAGAAGCGTTACAACTTATTTTATTTTTAAACAATAGAATCGCTCGTGTTGTTATTTTTTGTTTTCTTTTTTTTATTGTATCTAATATTGAATAACCAACCAATGAGAAATAAATTTGTATTTAATTGGTACAAAGCAAATAACCAATGGGATAGAATGAAATCTTGAGTTTTTTGTTTGAGAAAAAATTCGATTTGAATTGATTTAACCTTTAGAAATTGATTGAAGAAGACAAAAAAAACATGCTCGGTTGTTGTATACCTCGTGATCCATCGAAACAAACAAATAAATTGATAAATGAAGCATTAGAACGTGATCGAAAAGAAATGAATTCGGAATCAAAATTACTTTTACTTGGTAATTAAAATTTTTTTTTTCTTATGAACTTTAATTAATACGAAAGAAAATATGATCGCTGTTTTAGTTTATAAATTCTCGAAAAATAAATTCTAATAAGTATGTGTTGCTCAATAGATAATTAAACACTTTACTTCTTCGCTTTGATTTGAATTAATTTTTTTTCTATCAACATTATTTGTTTTTGATTATTATTGATTTATTTTTAGGTGCTGGAGAATCTGGAAAGAGTACAGTTGTAAAACAGATGAAGTAAGTGTTCAAAGTTATAGATATATATATATATATATATTAGAAATTATTGTCTAGAATAAAACCAGTCGGGTTAGTGTCGAACGCGATGAGCTCTAGTTTAGAGCTTTGCATGGTTTCAGCTTTTCGAACTCGCACCTGATTCAAAATATTTCATACGTTTATTTATACTAAATTAGATACTTCGTTTAAAGATGATCGTTCGATAGAAGTTGACATTTTTTAGAAAGATACGAAATACATATCAACATGACATCAATACACTTTATTATGTAGTTCTGAAATGATTTCCAAGCGTATTGTTTATGTAGGTAAAATGAAGAGATATTTTGAAGTTCAAGTAAATTATTGTGTCAACATAATATTATAGAATAGAATGGTTTTAGGCGTTACGACTTATAATAATATTATTGTGTTCTTTTATAAAAGTCTCTAAGAATGGAAACAACTAGTTCACGATTTAAAAAGCTATAATATAATTGGCGACCTTTTTCTCTTATTGACAGAGACATGCCGATATAAAATATGACATTAGACTATTGCTAACGGCAATCTTCTTTTAGTAGATGTATGCCAGAATGAGAATCAGTTTTCTATTCTCATCGCAGCATGCAGTTAACAGAAAGATAAAAGGCTCAACAATTATCTCATTACTGTTTTATCGAATGTTATCAGATCACATGTTTGAGAACTTAAGTAAAAGAATAAGATAATGTTTTTATGGATTTTTTGTATTACCTGAAGCGATATCTCCTTTAAAATTCAGCAGTTATTTCCAAGTATTTTGATGCAATGATAAAGTGTGAATAGATTCAGCATTGTTGCTATCATTGATATGGCTTATATAGATAAATAGGCATCACGAGAGGATTTGCTCTCTAACCCCGCAAAACATGCACAATGCTTTAAAAGGCTGATCAACTTTAGCAAAAATTTTCTAAGCAACTTCCAGTCATTGACCTCCTTCTCAATCCTGACTACTTCAAGAAGTCTCTGTATAGATAATAGGAATTGATAGTGTCGCGACATATTGAATTGTATGTAGAAAACAGTAAATCACGCTAGAAAAAAATAACCTCGAAAAAAATACTTACGATTCAATCCGATAAGCTAGAACCGAATCTATACACGAGTCAGGTCGAGTTGCACGACACTTTTGTTATGTAAAAGAAAAAGGTTGATTTGATCTCAATAGTTCTTTTCTCAAGAACTCTTTGCAATCAATTCAGACATCTTTTACGTTACTAATGAAATTACGACATTTGAATTCCACATTTTTTACTTCTAAATATAACGTCATTATAGGATTATAAGTGTTTCTATTGAATCTGAAGTAGTGTATATTTCTTCAAATAATTTTGATAGTCATATTCAATTATGCAAAACAATTTAAGAGAACAGGTTGACCTGTTCATAGATTATTTGAGAGATTTTCAAAAAAAAACCAAAAACATCTAGTGCAATTATTCATATACACAACAAATTAAACTTATAGAAAAGTTTCGTGTATACAATAGCAGCCTTCTATTCTATGAATATTATATATATATATATAATAAATAATTTAATTTCTTATAGAATAATTTTTAATGAAAATGGTTATACTAAAGAAGAATGTCTTCATTTTAAACCAGTTATTTTTTCTAATACAATTCAATCAATGTTAGCTATATTACATGCAATGAATCGACTACAAATTTCATTTGAAAATATAAATCGAAAAGTATGAAATTTTTAATTGATAATCGATTTCAAAAAGAAATATAATTTAATTCTTTTATTTTTAGAGCGATGCTGAAATTGTACTTACTCATGCAGAAATAGAAAGTAATCATGAAATTTTACCTGAAATCGTTGGTCAAGCTATACAAGCATTATGGAATGATGCTGGTGTGCAAGCATGCTTTTTACGTTCTCGTGAATATCAGTTAAATGATTCAGCAGCTTAGTAGGATAAATTGAATATTTGTTTATATTCAATACAATATCTTTTTTTTTTGTTTTTGAATAGTTATTTAAATTCACTTGATCGACTTATTCAATCTGATTATATTCCAACTCAACAAGATGTTTTACATACACGTGTTAAAACTACTGGTATTGTTGAAACAACATTTACATTAAAGAAGCATAAGTTTCGGTATGAATGAATTATTTGATTTTAGTATGAAGATTATAATCAATTATATTTATTTAGAATTGTTGATGTTGGTGGTCAAAGAAGTGAAAGAAAAAAATGGATACATTGTTTCGATGGTGTAACAGCTGTTATATTTGTTAGTGCTCCAGGCCCGTAGCCAGGAATTTTTTAAGGGGGGAGCCCAATTCCAAATTTTTTTCTAAAGTTGCAAAAACCTTTCTCGTACGATTTTCAGTATCGATACTTTCGTTCTTAACATCTTAGATGCAGCTTTTTCGTTTTGTTTCATATTTCTTTCTTTGTTTTCTTTTATTAAATTTCAAACAAAAACACTTATTTTCCAGNCCAAATTTTTCATTAATGATACAAGTAGAGTCTTTAATATTATGCATACGATGCTCGAGCGTTCGAATTACAGGTGTACAAGGACGTTGAATTTGCTGTTGTTGTTTTAATTGTTTGTCACAAATTCGAATTAAATGAATAGATGATTTCATATCATCATCATTAACGAGAAAGATAGTTGATGGAGTATCAAGATTTTTACGCAATTCTTTTAATTGTTCACTCCATCGTTTAAGATCATTTTCTGTGAAATCATCCGATTGCTGACAGGAATTAATTTCATTGGTTAGTTTTTCTACTGATGTTTTCAAATCATTCTTTGTTCGATCAAGTAATTGTCGAAGATCGGTTCGAGCAATTTCAGCTGCTGCTTGAATTTTACTAATTGATTCACGTTCCCACGAATCAATACGATTTAAATATGGATGTTTTGGACTTTCTTTCGATAAGTCTCGTCGAAATAAACCATGTTCTTGACTGATATTGTTCATCTGTTGAGAGAGTTCATGACGATGTTCAACAAAATGTTTAGTACAAAATGATTGTTGACATCCATCACATGTAGTGACGCCGCTACCTTTACTACATTTAGCACATGGTTTTCTTGTGGTAATTGTTGCCATTTTCAACTTTAAAAAAAAAATCAAAGTTCACACATTTTTTCATGAAAAGAAATCAACATACATTTTGTGGTTATAACCTTCCCCTTGACACTTGTGAAAGAAGAAAAAGAAAATATAAAAGAATATGTAGATTACATTGCAAGAGTGAATTTATTTTACTTTTGTCTTGAAGTACTAGAAGAACGGAAAAAGAAATGCATAATGAAACATTATGAACACAAAGAATGAGAACGAGAGAGAAAAAGATTCTTGTAACTGTATGACAAGAAGATTGCAATGTTTGTTTAATAAAAATTTGAATAAATTCGTGTTTCGATTAATGATATAGTTTACACAAGAAAATGTGTAGTATCTATGTGAAATCTTGGGTCATTGTAGCATAAAAAAATTACATTTTTTTGAAAAAGTTGAGAGCAATTATCACTTGTTGATATTATTAAAAAGAATAATAAATTTCAAATTATGATTATATGCATTTGTATTGTAATCAATGAGAAAACTTTTAGACATTTTTTTGCTGTATATTACACAACATAGGTCCGACATGATTCACGGTCACAACCATGATCACGACTGAACTTTGGTCACGATCAGTAAAATAGCCACACATCGTATATTTGTGTTAACTAGTTAGATGTTCCGCAACACAAATTATATCGGTTTTTTTCTACATAGATGCAGTATCTACAACTACTTTTATATGCAATAATGGATGTACATAAATCACGAATAACATTATCATAATTTATATTTATATTTAGAACAATAAAAATGCTAAAATAAAGTCAAACGTTAAATGCATGGTTCTCCTTCTTTTTTTCGAAAGGTTAGCAGAAATATCTTTGTTAGAAATTAATTATATTAGATTTTTCTTAATACATATAGCTAGTACATAAAGAATCCTAACAAACTGACATCAATTTCTGTAACTGGAAAATTTGCTTACGTCACAAGTACTCCTCACCACTGTAAATTTTCAATATCAAAGAAAAATCAAAAATTTTAGTCGAATTTTTTTCAGATAATTTTCTATAAAATTCTATTAAATATATTTTCATTTGATTAATACTGACAAAAATATAATTTATCATTAAAGAATTATATTCTTGAAAAATATTTATTTATTAAATATTTTATAATAAAATAATGATGACTAGATTGAATATTCTATTGAATAATGCGTACACAATCACCATAAATAGGTAATTCAACAACTATTTTCCAAGGAAATGGGCATAATATAATATCAATTGATAATTTTAATAAACGATTAGTTCGATGATGTTCTAAGTCTATCTGTTGATGATTACACTTTAATGTTAATGTCAATTCATCACATTTTTCAACATCATTTTTTTCTTTACTTCTTTGAACTTTACCGTTAATGACAGTACTATTAAGACCCCACCATCCGTAAAGAGATTTATTATCTATATCGGTTGACATAACTCTGCTTACTTTTTCCGATGATGTAATAATTCCGAAAAAGAAACGTAAATCTCCTCTTTTTTCAATTTGAAAACGAATATGATGTGTTCCAGATGAATATCGTTTATAACCATAAATAATTGGATATTTTGATAAAGTTCGAAAGCAATATTTTGCCACAAGATCGTCACTTGATAATGCAGCACCTCCATCAACTTCATGAAATTTTTCTTTGAGAGAATAAATCTTATCATCGTCATTACTGTCATTCGTCGAATTGATTGTTGATGACGATTCAAGCTTTGTTTGAAGTTCTTCTATTATTCTTTTATCCTAATCAGGAAAATTCATGTTCGTATTGTGAACTGACATCATATTCACTTACTGTAGTCATTATTGTTTTTCGAAAAAAAGAAATGCCTGACTATGATTTGAGAATGTTTTTGTTGTTTTTTTTTATTCATCATACAAAAGAACAAGAAAAAAGTAATTGACTACAGAATTTTACGATGTAAAACAGTGACCTCTGTTCTCTGGGATCAACGTAATCATAATTGGCTTGTTTACTTAAAAGACGCCAAAACAAAGACAAAACCTTAAATAGAAATTAAAAATTTACTTCTTTCATTTCGTTTTTAACAAAAGAAAAAGATGTTCGGCAATAAATCAGTGTATATGTTAACAATTGTTTGGAATGAAAAACGTTTTGCTGAATCCAAGTCAAAACGATATGCAGCTCGACGATGTCTATATCGAGCAGCAAATAGTAAGTCTAAAAAGAAAACTACTTTAAGAAAATAAATATTTTCAATTCTTTTTTAGTTCAATTAAATACTGAATTAAAAAATCTTACGCATCAAAACAATGAAATTCTTCATGAAATAAATCGATGTGATAATGATTTACACAAGTATGATGAAAAACTTCAACTACTTGATAATATGACTCAATTAGCAACACAATCACTTGAAATTTATTTTCAAACAGTAAGAGAACAATTATTTTAAATAAAAATCTTTTATTATTAATTTTTATTTTGTAGCGTATGGAAAATTTGCGTACGTTTGTTAATGAGCAATGTCGGATTATTTCCGATGGTATACAAGAAGAAGCTGATCATTGGAAAGAAATCCATGCCATGTTACAACAGTAAAAAAAATCATTATGAAAGTTTATTTTTTTTGGTATATTTTTGTGTTTTTCTTTTGTTTCATAGAAAATTAGTCGTACCAGGTGATTTACGTTCATATGGTGGTGGTAATGGTCTACCACGAAATGTTAAACAAAGTCCAGATTTTAGTCGAATTATTGAAGAAGATGAAGAACAAGAAGAAGATGATGAGGAAGAAGAAGAAAAAAAGAATGATGTATCTATTTTATTGGTAAAAATTTATTTGATTAAAAATATTTCGGCATATAAATTCTTTTATTTTATTTAGCAAGCACGAACTTTAACACCATTGATTACTCAAACATTAAAGAGTAAGGAACATCACGAGTGATTAAGCATCTTAGTAAATTTATTATAGAAGTTAAAATATCTATGTGGAAGTTCAGAGGTGTAACTCAGCACTGGAGACGCAGAGAAGAGGGTGCATAATGATTGAGTCCCAGCAAAAGAAGTGATACATAGACGAATTGCAGAAGCAGGGCGGTCGTCACGTCCTGGTTGAGTTGAAGAAATAATGCTGAGAAAAGCTAAAGAATGGAGGAAATAATAATTTAACAGATGATGGGAATCGTCATGACTGAGTTGTTCGACATGTATCTACAAAATACTGTGTTCAAATCTCAGTACCATCAGTCATGGAATGATCCTGGACAAGTCACTAAAGGCTATTTATTTCGAATCATCCGTTATCTATCTCAGGTCACTGAATTTGTCGTTAGGTAGTACTTCATATTGCAAGGGTCTTTTTTAAGGTTAGTGATAGAAGCTTATTCAGGTTTTTTTTCCATATGAATAATGTAAAAACAATATTACGGTTAAGTAGTACTGTTGACTTCGCTAAAGAGATTTGACCTGTTGTTAAGTAAGAAAAATATCTGTAGCACCAAAATAATTTTCAAGAATCACATAGAAGAATAGAAAATAATAGCAATTAAACAAAATTTAAATGATATTACATTGATGAACATACGAATAAATTTTCAGGATTAATTATTTAAAAAGTCAATAATTGCAATAGTTCAAATTTTCAAGAATGGAACACTAGTTTTTGCAAGAAAGTTAACGATTAAATACCTAAAAAGCTTTAATTGTGTGTTTTAGTTATCAGGCGTTAGTTTCAACATTAAAAGTAACTAATCCTGAAAATTCAGTCTATCGACATCAATATGATATCCTTCAGAAAGCTTGTTTTCCTTATTTCACAATGGTTCAAATTTCTTCAATGAAGTCAACACTAGGACTTGTAGTATTTGTTTACATTATTCATATGAAAAAAAAACTTTGAATAAACTGAAGAGGAGATATCTCAATTTTTTTTATCGCAGTGCTATTTATGGACAAGTGTGTAGACAAATCATTAATAATATCAGTTACATTCCTACCTGAGTAAACTAAAGCAGTTCATGAATATGACTTTTCCTGTCTGTACTCTTACTATCTAAATTGGTTGACTTATTTGCTGAATTGATGTTTTTCTTTCAATCTATTTTCATCATTTGTCTAGAGGCTCGTTTACGTGCTTCAAAATTATCACAAGATACTTCAATGATTGTTCCTTCTCAACTAAATATGTCAACTACTGTTCATGAAGAAACATTACATGAAGAACCACAGTCTCCAACAAAAGCAATAGTAAATCATATGACATTACGTGATGTATCTGCTATTGAAAAAGAAACAGAAATGGAAACAGATATAACAAATCCTGATTTATCTGTTTCACTTTTACCATTTATTCCAACAATAAACAATGATGAAGAAAAAAAAGAACATAATAAATCAATACGTTCAACAATATCAGATAAAACATTTGTTAAAAAATCTCTAAAACCTTTAGCATCCGAAGAGGAAACAGACGATGATAATGATGATGACGATGATGATGATGAACATACAGTAGTTGAAGAAGGTCTTATTGGTGATAGTAAAGAAAATATTCGTCCATTATTATTAACTGCTGATCAATCAATTCGTATTCGTGATCGACAATCAGGACAAGAAAAGCTTTCTTTGCCTAATAAATCTCTTGAAGAAAGACCAAAAATTAAACAAGAAAAAGTTAGTTTTCGTGAACCAATTAAAATTCGTATGTACAATAAAATTCATGTTTTCTTCTGTAATATTTCTTTTCATAGATAATAATACTGAACGAAATCGTTTAGGAAAAACATTTTTATTAAATAATAATACATTTGATGCTGAAAAAACAGATTATGTTCGACCAACAATTGTTATCAATGATGATACTTCAAAATTATCACCTATAGCATCGGCTGAATCGTAAGAAAATCTATTTTAATCTTTTTTTCTCTTAATAATTGTCATTAATATATGTAGAGAAGAAGAAGAAGAAGAAGAAGAAGAACAGCAGCAGCAAACAAATACATCACGGAGACCAGAAAAAAGATCAATTGATCAAGTCTTATCAACATCAACAACTTCTAATCGAAGTAAAGCATTAAAAAGTCCAATCATAACACAATTGCCACCGCCTGTACCAACAGGAAGTCTTGAAAATAGTAATAAACGACGGACAACTCGTCGAACAACTATTCGATTGCCTCAAGACAATCAAAGTGGTAAAAGATTGACAATTAAAATTTCATTAATATTTATCGTTGACTCTTTTTAGTACCACCACAGCCAGTTGAAATACCAACTAAAACTCGTTATCAAACTAGATATTCAACTCGACTAGCTGGAACAATCATTATTGAAGAAACAACAATACATCGACGAACAGCACGTCTTACTTCAGAATAGAAGAAGTATTAAATTTTCTTAGATATCTTTCTTCGAGTTAATGAATAATAAACAACAACAACAATGGAAATACAAACTTTTCACTATTTAACAAAGTTATTATTATATATTATGATGTATAAAAAAACGAACTTTTCTACTTTTTTTTCTTTTTTGCACTTATTTTTGACAATAATCTGAATAAAATTTAGTTCTCTGTTACGAAAGTTACGCAATGCCATACAATTATTTTTTGTCTATTATTAGTTACTACTGTCAATGTGCAACTGAAAAGTAGCAAAAAAGAAAAATTACAACTCCATCAAACCTTTTCAGTTCGAGTACGGAAAGTTTTTGACTAGTATATATATTTTTCTTTTTGTGTTGCTTGTTGATGATATCTATTTGATGATTTGTATTCTTGTAACTTGTAAATGAATTATTGTTTTTACTGATGTAAATTCCGATTCTAATGGAGTCGGGTTTCGGAATTCGATACAGTGTTCTACATCAGAGGTATAAAGATCATAAATATTGTTATACAGAATTATACAGGACCGAACAGAATAATCTCTTAAACATCAGCCATCACTCAGAACAAGGGATATGCAGGAACATAAGGAAAACAAGTTGCTGAAATCGGGATCCAGAGACAAGAAAAAATTTTTTCCAACTGAAACTGAAGATTATAGTTGAATATTTCATGGTTTTAAGAGAATCATGTCAATTAGAACATAATACAAGAGAGATACCCCCCAAAAAAATGTTAATCATCGACTAATTGAATGAAACAAAATGGATATTTGAAGAGTTCTTTTACATAATATAATCGAGATCGAATAGAGACCAAAAAACTTGATCTTGCAAGTTATCTACTCGGGACACATACCAACAGTCAAATATACATAAAAATACCAAATCTTTTTCGACAATTTTTATTCTAATTTCAGAGTATCAAATATTAGTAGTTTAAGTTTTAATTATAAAAAATAATTACGATTTTCATTGAAGTGAAGTTTTTATAAATGATTAATTTTTTTTATATGAATAAAAAATTTGATATAACGTTTATTTGTCATTCTTACAGTTTTCTTTTGTTTTAGTTGTTCAATTGCTCATCCAATTTAAGATTTAGAACAATTTGAACATATAAACCCACGTTGATCTTTAAAAAATTTTTTCGAACCAATTGGTCGATGACATTTGGCACATAGAAAACATTGTTCATGATATGGTTTTTCATCAAATATAGTATATTTAGTATCAAATGGAATAGGTTTTCCACATTTGTTACAACGTTTAGCAAATAATAGATCATTACAAGTAACACAATATGGTTGTAAATTATTAGCACAAAGTAATTTTTCATTTTCTAATACTTTATGACAATGTGAACATTTAAAACATTCAGCATGATAATCTCGTGTTTCATATGTTATACCCGATGATAAAATTGGTTTTCTACATGAATAACAATGTTTAGTATCGATTTCACATTGACGACACCATGGTTGATCATTATATAATGTAAATGTTTGAGATGGATCTAAACGTCTATGACATAGAGCACATGTAAAACATTCGGAATGAAATAAACGATTATTAAAATTAATACGACTATGAACATTTGCTTCAATTGGCTGTCCACATTCAGCACATATAATCATTGATGATGATGATGATGAAGAAACTTTTTGAAAACAATTTCCACACTATAAATAAAAAGTATTCAAAATAATCTTTTCTTTTTATTTTCTCTTTTCATAAATAAAACTAACTGTAAATCTTGTTCCATCAGAATTCATTGTAAATGTTCCATTTATTGGTGCACCACATTTTTCACAACAGAAACATTCATAATGATATTCTCTATCAGCGGCTTGAGTTATTCGAGAACCACCATGAAATGGTAACATACATGCAGCACAACTAGATGAGATTTCCAACAAAATAATAGAAGTTTTCTTTTTTTATTGTAAGTTTTTACTTACAATTTAATTTCTCCGGTATTGTTGACATTTCCAACAAGAAATGGATCATTAATACGTCCTTTATCATTTTTATAATATGCTTCTAATTCGTCACGATTTAATGTTTCAGCAAGTTTTTCAGCAAAATGAACGGTTTTTTGTTGATTAAGTTTTTTTTGTTGATTTTGTTTTTGAAAACTTTGTTTATCATAACGTTTAAAACATGACGTACAATATATTTTATTTTCTTGTTCATCTTCATATATTTCACCCTCAATTAATGATTGACATTCTTGACATTTTAAACAATTATGATGATATTCTTTATTATTATATTTTTTCGTTATATGTCGTGATGTTGGATTAAATGGAAGACCACAACCACCACAACGTAACACACTAGAAAATTAATTTATATAATATCATCTATATTGAATTTAAGATATTCTATTGATTTTTATGGAATTTTTATTAATAAATGAATATTATCATGAATGGTTTTTGAAAAAAATATTATTTAGAGATGCATAAAGAGTCGATTTTCACAATTAATTGAATATCAGATGATCGTTTTAATAAATCTGATCTTCTATGTTTTTTCTATCGAAAAAATGACTTCCTAAGACTGTTATCAAGACCCATATTAGAGATGTATAGGATAAGCTTTTTTCGTATTCTGTACATGTCTATTCCATATGATTATGCCTTTTTGTATATATAAACTCATGTGCCATATGGCTTAAGAGTCATCGAGCATTCAATAGGTTTCCGATATTGCAAGATACTGATCATTATGAACTCATACACATGATTTTATAGGAACAATAATTTCTTGTCAATTTTACGGTGGACTTCTCCGAACTGATCAGTCGTTGTTAAGTTGTAGCTCTATGTATTAAGCAGAACCAAATGAACTGTGAATACCTTGAAAACAGTTCAAGCTCTTGGGTTATCGCTGCCGAGATACTGTATTTTAAGGATAGCCTTTACAGTATCTATGCAACAATAAGCTAAAGGCCGAACTCTCTTCAGGATAGTCAAAACTCATTTGGATCTACATGATGCACATAGTTCCGATCAAAAAGTGATTAATCAGTTGCGAGACTTCTCTCATTAGTTGAGAATAAAAATGATTCATTATCTCATATTTGCTATAAAAGCATTTAACTCTCGAAATTTACATGTATGCAAGCAATATAATGTTTTTTGACAGTCATAAATCATTTTTTCGATATCAACACTTAATAAAGTCAAATACGTTTATCTTTGATTCGATAAAAATCATAGTTTTGAAAATATTACTTAAAATATTTACTTATTTTTTGACTCTGCACTATTTGATTGAAAATTAGTTGCTGGTTTTGTTTGTTGCATGTGGGCACATTCTCGACAAAGTGCTTCTTTTTCAAGTTCATCCGGTGAAAATGATCCATCATAAGATTTCGAACATTTATCACATGATAAACAATCAATATGATAAGTTTTCTTATTAATTGTTACTGTATCTTCAGTACCATAACGAAATGGTCGTTCACATTTAGCACAACTAAAATAACAAAAACCAAAATTTGTTTAATTTATTTTTTGAAAAACGATTTCAATTTTTTACCTCATCTTGTTACATACACACACGCACACAAAACAAAAGAACCGTTACTTTTACACGAGAAAGTCTATTAAAAAGTGATGCATTGCATTCTTACTTATTTTTTTTCTTAACGCCCACGCTGACAAATAAAGAACAGAGTACGAGTTTTCTTTTTTTCTTGTGTTCTGTTTTTTTTTATGCTTGAAATTCATTCTCATGTCAACAGAAATATATGAAGTTATAATCGACGAAATGGCATAGCGTTGACGAAAGGATTATAAATATATTTAACGCCTTGCATAGGTTGAGAACTAATTGCTTTTGAATCAAATTGTTGTTTACTATCGGCAACCATTTCCTTAAAAAAACCATTAATTTAAATAAGATTAGCAAAAAAAAAATCATAATATACTTTAGCTTTTTGAAAATGTTCGAGAAGACGTTGTAGGTGTGGTGTTTTCGCACATTCGATTTCAGTACCGGGATATGGTTGATTAGGATCTATAGAAGGCATACCTCTAACAAAATATGATAGAGAAGAATTTTTTATATTGTATTGTTTTCGATTACTACTTACAGATATTCATGCGGTACTGTAATTGCTATCATATTTTCTGCCAATTCATCAGCAGAGATTTTAGACTAAATGATAGAAAAGAATAAATTTTGATGTTACTTTCAATATCTTGTGTGTTAGTACATTTAACAGAAAAAGTTCGTTAGCTACGAGTTCTAATACATTATTCGATATTTGAAACTAAATGAATGGACTCATTTGTTTATTTTCTTTTCTCTCATAATCATACATTTTCCTGTGGTTTATTTTGATATATACATTTAATGAACGTTGTATAAGATTCTATCGCATTTTTTATTATCGTTTGTCGTTTTTCACTTGTTTGAGTTTTTGATTTCATATATTTTAATTGACGTCTTGAAACGACTGGCTGATGAATAATCACTACAATCAAGCACCGTTTTCTATCGATAAATACTTACTTGATAGGTTTTTTTATTATGAGAAACTATTCTGAAATATTGATGTGATGGAAACTTGGAAATGTTAGACATTTTTCTTACTTAAATGAATCATGTTTCTAAATATAGAACAAAAAAACAAGCATCTAAAAAAATCACAACTAAATAACATACATCAAACCTAATATCGTAAGCAATAGATGGTAACTGACGACGTTCATGTCGAACTTGATTATTTATAGATAACTCATATGCGATTTCATCTCGATTTATCTGATTATGTTGCAATCGACCAAAATAAAAAGAACCATAATCTTGGTTAGTTGTCATGAAACCTTCATTGAGTTCATCATGTGATTGTATCATAGTTCAATTTGAACGAAAATATTGACAAATGCTGATGGCGCTTAACAAATAAATATATTTCATATTGCCTTATTATTACTGTAATCAATTATCGAATATTGAATATTTTAAAGAATACTAGGTACACAAAAAAGACGTAATTATCACTGCACAATGTGTGGATCAATGGAGCATCAACAGATAAACTTTGAACATTATTCGTAAATAGTAACTCAAAATATCAATCTGATAAATATTCATGTTTGTCAGCATTAGTTATAGATGATAGAGTGTTCGTGATAAGACATTATCGAAAAAGACATCATAGGCTCATGCAAATGATCAATTAGTGTGATACTCTTCCTCATTAATATTGTTAACTTGAATTTCCTCATGAAATCTTCTGTTTATATATAAAATACATTGTTTCATAATCATATGTTATTTGAAAAATTCTCATTATTCAAAGCAGTTGATTAGCAGTCATAATGGATATTCTTTAAAAAAAAATGATATAAAGCTTTATTATTTTAATAGCAGAAATTAAAGTAAGTATAATTATAAACGCTAATTTCGCTGCAGTATTGAAAAGTTAAAGTGCTGTCTTGATTATCTAAAATGTCATTATCTAGAGATTTTTCAGCATGATTAAATGTAAAATAATTAGATTTAATCAACTTTCTTCGACGACCAGCATGGTAGTAGTCTTGATGTTGTTTGTTGATATTGCTTATATTTTGGATATTTTTGTGAACTAATCGTTTCAGTAAAATTTGTTGAACCATTTATCAATAATGTCAATGAAATAGAACCCAAAATTGTCCAATTAACATAAGAAAATGGTTGAACAGAAAGTGTAAATGCATAAAAAACCCACCATATCATTATTTCTGAAAAAAAATTTGGATGTCTTGAATATTTAAAAAGACCTGTTTGAAGAAAACCGTCTTTTGTCCATGATCGGTTTTCTTTTTTATCTGCATGAAAATTCCATTGTTGTTGATCAGCAGTAACTTCAATAGTAAAAAACAATAAGAAAAATAATGTGCAAATTAAATCCCATGCATTAAGTGGTAATGATTGATGGTATGCTACATAAAAAATTGGTGAAGTAATAAAGAGAAGAAGAATATTTTGAATAATAGAAATAAATATTAAATTAAATAATTCAAATAAAAAACGATTATTAATAATTTTTTTTAATACAGGCCATCGATAATCTTCACCTGACCATGTATAACCACCTTTTCGTGCAAAATTATATGTTAAACGAAGACCCCACATCCAAACAAGAATAGTCATTAAGAGAATACGAGGTTGAACTGTTGAACATAAAACAACAATCAAACAATATATTAGTGGTAATAAACTCCATAATTTATCAACTTGTGAATAATTTTGTGTAATTAAACCAAGTAGAAAACAGACCACAATAGATATGGTCATTAAAGTTAATAAATATATTCCTGCATCGCTTTCGGTAAACCATACAAATGAAATCATCTCAAAATAGAAAACAAAAACAAGAAAATATAGATAACATTGTTTGTTTTTCTCATAATTGAATGATATAAATTAACAAATTAGCTTGATTATATGATTAATAATGCAGTCAGAATATAAAGATAACCTGCACCGATTTATGTATTACTGAAAGAAGAAAACAAAAAAACGAAAGAAGACAAAAGAGACATGATATTTAATCTTTTTTTTTTTCATAAGCAGCCGTAAGAGTTTTTACACAGCCACGAAACATTTTGGAAAACCAATATAAATTAATAACATCAAGTACAACACATACAATAATAAGAATAAATCGAAAATGACCCATATGAGACCATAATGGTGTTACAGCAACTGTATACACTTTCCACCAATAAATAGGCATTGCAAATATACGAACAAAAAAGAAAACTATGGTCATGAACAATCCATTCAATATGAATGCTTTTGATCTTCTCGGATATTTTAATGCATCAAGAAACCATCTAAAAAGAATGATATATTAAAATAAGAAAGAGAAAACAAACTGATTGACCTGAAATTGACTGAAGGTGTCGACAGTTCAGCAAGTAGTCGAAAATTAGCAAAATATGGCATTACATTCAACGTTAAGACATAGACAAAAGCATAAATAGATACCAAATGATGAGCCATTGAAAATGCATCACCAATTTTTCTGTAATGTATTATACCAATGATCGTATCTAAAAAACAAATGATTAATTTTTAATGATATTACATGATACAAACACAAAACTGAAAGCTATTATGCAATATTTTATGCAGATTCACTCTTACGAAAGGGCGAACATTTATTCTTGAGAACACAGGCACAAAGTACATGGAAAAATAATACCAAATTGTGGGAAGGCTAATCCTATCTTTGGAGAAATTCCGGCCGTTTGACTCTCATGTTGGATAAAATACTACTGATACGGCTGGTAGATTCTTTCAAAAGGCTTTAGGAATTGTACGCAAACATGATTTTATTGTTTTTGAACGCATTGTTATTTTCGTACGCTATACTCAGAGTCGAGTAAGTACGAATACATATTTGTACTCGCCCAGCTCTGATTATACTAATCAAAATCAAGACTTGGGAAGGGAAACATAAGGTTTGACATCTTTGCAAATTTAGATAACAAAGCTTGAAGAAATTGTTGAAAAAACATACGGAGATAACATTACAATATTATCACAAAGCTATGAAAATTCTTCAATTTTAAAATGGTTGGTTAACAATAGTACTTTTTACAGAAAAATTGAAATTATTATATGATTGAACTAAAACTTATATTATTAGGTTTTTACATAGAGTACATAAGAGGAAATACATGTCATCTCAATATATTCATATAGCTGTCTATCCAGTCCATTAGAATATTTATTAAAGTACTTAAAAAAATTGTTTTCCCGTAACTTTCTCGCAACACCTTAGTGCGATACGATGATTTAGTCATCGAGTAAAATATCTACTGATCAATTTCAAAGAGTCGGTTCGGTTACTATTTTTAGTTAAACTGCTAATTATAGTATACAATTAAACATCGTTCTACCTGAGTAACAATCATATCACTTAATACAATGGATAGTATACACGACCTTGCGTATGAATGAAGAATGTCATTGAATCAAATAAATACTCTATTCCTATTTACTGACTAAATGAAACTTCCAAAACATTGCATACTAAAGATTGTTCTTTGATATTTAAATGGTTGACTATCCTCTGACTGGTAATTCACTGTCAGTATACCGACGGTAGTGCGAATAAACATGAGACATGAGTATTCAAGTCAATGAAATACATAAGTGTTTATGTTTATAAAATTCACCCGTTCAAGATCAACTACATTCGTATCCTACGCTCAACTATACATATAGGTTTTCCCTTGAAGTTTAAATACGTATGAGCAGTTATTATTACTATTAAATTTCACTGTCTTTCACGTTTCTTGAAATATTGATTTTTTTCGTATTAAACTATTCATTCTTGATCAAAGTTGTCCTCTTTACATTGAGATAAAGAACATACAAATCTGTTCACATTATGTAGTGAAAACCTATTCGGATATGATTTCATATCTTTTCATATGGACCAGTTTGAAAAAACATAAAAGAGACAGCTGTGACCTTGTTAAACCGATTGAGAAGTATTATTTTGAACAGTATATTTCATAATATTGAAAAAAATAATTTCGTACTGAAAGGATTAAAATCCGATTCTTTTTCCGTGTTTTCATATGTGAGAAATTTTTCTTTCAAAAAAAAATTAAAATAAATTTCGGATGAGGTGGCCTATTTCAAGGTTTGACATATAAATATAAATTTTCTTTTATTTATTCCATGCATGTGAACATCAATCAGACTTCTTTTCTAGTAATTTATTTTCGAAATATACGAAGTTTTTATTTTTTTGCACTTCTATCTTGCCCTTCTCCTTATCATACTATTTACACTGAGATAAATACCGAAAATAAAATAACATTCATAATACTTACCACTTAATAAATATCCAATAACAATAGACAAATTTGTTTTTAATAAATAGCTTTTATATCTATGTACGAGAAATTAAAATAAATCGAAATTAAAATATGATTTTTTTTGGTCTTACACAAGTGGATTAGCATCAAGTCCACGATCAGCAATCATCATATATACACAAATAGTACCCACAACAAGTGAATTAATTGATGAATTAATTCTAAAGAATTTTCTTATTTAGTTTTGTTGTTTTTTTTATTAAAAAAAATATAAAATACCTTGTATTCCAATCAATTTGTTTTGTTTCAGTTAAATTTTTATAATGTTTGACTAATAAATTTGATAAAAATGGATTAATAAATTTATAAAGACTTGTAAACACAATAAAACTAGTAGCTACAACTGGTAAAAATGTCGGATCAAATTTAATATTGAGTATTTGTTCTAAATACATTGTCGTTGAATTCATTTCTCTAATTATATTTTACCTAAAATCGTTCTAAAAATGCCAAGTGACTTTAATAAAAAAGCTAACGAAGTAAACAAAAAAAACTATTCTTATCGCCATTTCATTTCATATCATTTTTTTTAAAATAAAACCTAATAGTTATATAAAATAAACAACCTGAAGAGAACTTCACCCCGTGTGTGGTCTTGCCTGGTCTGATATGTATATGATTCATAAAAAAATTTCATCTCTTAATTTATCCAATGATTAACCAGCAGAGGTCGTTCGTTCGTTTCTTATCATAAATATAAAACTAAACTCACTAGAGATAAGTTGAAGGAATCGAGTCAAACACACAACCCCAAGAAATGCTGCTTACTTTATAAAGAAATTATGAATGAATCAAATTCGCAGAGTAAGGATTTCGACTGTCAAATTTGGTGTGTTAAGTGACCTGATACGGCGCATTATTGCATTAATTTTCAATGTAGTGTGTGGTAATCCGTCAGGTCATTTTATACCGTTTACAGCGCTGTTTTCCCGGAGCCGGGTAACAAATTCTTATTTTACCATGATTGAATATTTTTCTTGTTTTTCTAATGAACAATGGTACAAGCTTAATATTGATCATATATTTCATTGTACATTCAAGTTATATAATAATAGAGCAACTGTTTAGAAATACTAATTTATTAATCGTAACCAAACAAATTAGTATCAAATTGTATTCAAGTGTTTAAAATATTTTAAATCTTCGTATGTGCTTTCAAATGAGTTCTAGTTTGAAATACATTGGATTTCTTTTACTCTGAGAAAATATTAGAAATTTTTTCCGTATAGTTTAGGTGAGTCCGTTGAAATATGGATGAATTGGATATATATTCGTGTAGTTCATGGTGCTTTATATATCATAGTTATTTTGATCCTAGTCACCATCAAGTACAGAATCGAGCAGCAGTACTTGACATATAGAATGAGTTTTGAAGAAGGATTTAAAATTTATGTCGTTATTTCTATGCATGATGCGTCATATAATAAATAAAACGTACTCTTAGAAAATACATCAAGAAATTACTCAGTTCAATGATTCCAGACTCGAGAAGGATACGGATTATGCTAAAAATTGTTCGGAAAAGGGAGAAAGCTTTTAGTTTCGTTTATGTGGGAAAATTCGTTTCTACTATTGAATGAACGCATCTGTTTTCTAAGGGGAAAAATGCTTTGGTAGGCATGGTTGAGATAATCTACACACACTTCGATGTACACACAAAAATCGCCATTGCATTAAAGTGGCACATAACCTTCACATATGAAAGAGGGCGTTCCGTGTCGTGAATGAAACATATAGGCTTTCATGCATATTATCGTTTGAATAAAATAAAAAAACAAATATAAAAATGTTTTCATTTTTTTGGATTTCGATGTGATATGAATACAATAGATCACAAATAATAAGATATTAAAATGAAATATATAAGTGCCGACTTCTTTAAATAACTTTTTGTCAAATTGTAGCGCACATAAAATAGTACTTCATTTATTATAAAGGAACAAAAACTAGTAGTAAATATTATCTTTTGACGTTTATCATGTTCTATTTTATAAATTAAAAGAATTTTCCTAACACAGTACCAATTAAAAATAAGTTCATTATTAGAAATAGTCTCTTGTTCTTGTAAACAATGTATAATCTATTGCATGCAATTATTTCAATTCGGATAATTAGATTACTCATAACTCTTAATCTATATGCACCAAGTCTTTGCAGAAACTTATCATTCAATGTTCGAGTGATTTTAAGCAACTGAAGAGAAAAAGTAGTCAGCTAGACTGAGTAATTCATGTACTGTCTCTTTATATATTAAGATTTCTTTTTCACTTAAACTACAGCATTAAGAACAAAAATATTAAGAAGGATCTGAAGCGATCTCTGTTCGAAATTTTAAACTAGCAGGTTTTTATACATGCATCTACTTATATGCTTCGAATGTCTAGTTGCCATTGAAAATAACCAAAACGAATGAATTAGAATGAGAATTTATTTTCTATTATATGTATGTTCAGAATTTTTATCCTACATCAGTCTACTTAACTGTGAACAAATATCTGAGTGGTTTAAAGATTTTACTTTCATCAAGTACGTTTTTTCTATCTTGAATAAGACTTATTAGTTGCACTGATACCGACTCATTCATAATTTAAAAAGATATTCTGAAGGCTCAACAAAAATATGTTCTAGAAACAGCGAAATATACTGAGAAATGAGAATAAATTACTTGAGAGATATATATAGTCAAATATCCAAAAGAAATATTTTAAAATGATCTTCAGATTAGGAATCTTTTAGTCTATTCTTTCTCTTCAACTC